ATTGATTGATTTGCATTCTCACGTGGGAAGAAATTAACGGATTTAAATTTCCTTGTTGGAATATTTGTGCTAACAGTTGACGCGCTTTTTCTAGATCTGATGTCATCTAGGCGCCTACGCCTGTTTCGTAAACGCATCATAGTCGGGAAGCATACGATGCCATCGGCCTCTGTAGTAATCTTACTGTTTCTCTGATTCGGTCTTGTTGCCAGCGCCCCCGCGAGAATCCACAAATTGCACTTTGCGCCTCCTGTCGTAGCATTTACTCTTTCGGCCTAATTATTTAATGCCTCTGTGCAACTACCGCCATTACATCTGGCCGTCTCTAGTGATGACTATGTGTGTGATTTCAAAACCTCCGGCTAATATAAATTCTTGTCCTCGAGATCTCATCTCCTTCTTCATCGCTGCGTCCTTGAACTGACTTTTTGCCTCTACTGATACGGCTGAATGGCCCCCAAGGTCGTTTGCACCCAAACACACAAAAAGTCATATTTCCTGGTATGCGTCAATGAGACGGTGCTTAAATTGTGTCCGATGAAGCATTTCTTAAAAGCTAATGCTTATATACACTATTATGCCTCATCTACGATTGTCCTAAATGACGGCACTTCGACTCTCTTAAATCAAAGTATATCAGCGATCAAATATGAATTCACTGTTTGCACGACTCCGTATGGGCTGGCCTGTTCGTAAAATTTCTGTGCATTTATGGATGCCCATATTTGTCGCATATGACTGTTTCAACGAGATCTTTAGAGAGAAATCAAGTTTTTGCCAACTATATGATCGGCACCTACTAATAAACCCGCTTTTTAAGTTTGTTGTCAGTGCATATTTAGTAGAGGACAGGGCGCCTTTTTCAACCATTGCAAAGACAAGAAATCACAGACTGCATCTAGAAGTGTGCATGTAAGGTGCTGGCCGCAAGTTAAGAACGCAAATAGACCCCTTCATTCTGCTTGACATCATCGCGCTAGGAAAGAAGTGTCATAATAATCACAATGATTTGGCCTAAGTAGACACATTTTGACAACCATGCCTTGAATCCAGCAGCCGGGTATTTTGCCTTCTCCCATACGAATAGACGCGCTTGCATGATGTAGGTAATTTACATCCGAAGTGTACGCTAGCATAGCCTACGGAGAAAAAGCAGATCACTTACGGTACGTGACCTTTCTCAGGAAACCTGATGACAGAAACTGATGCGAAAATTTTCGGATGTCTCGCGCGTTGCGCATTTTGCTCGCTCGTTCAGCTTCTTCATGGAGGTGTTCTTTTCTTCTGCAGAAAATGTGTCCACATACTTTAATGAAGCAAAATGTTTGTAAATTTGAGCGAACATGGACGTTACGATGCATTCGGGCAATTTTCTATGCAATTACCTGCCCTAGACTTAGAGGGCGCATCTAAACGTGTTTCTCTAAGTCAGGAGAGTAATTTATTCTTAGCCGTTTTAATAGACAGAGCTTACTGCATTGCAAAGTCGACTTTTTGTCCGATGACTACAGTGGGAATTATCTTGCTGGCAGACAAGTTATTTTTAGGCAATCAGGCGTCCCATGGAATTTTAAAAGTCATATAAGCAGATCCATGCTATTTAGTGCTGTGAGTAGCAGTAATAACGCACACAGCCAATCTTTCGTTTACACGTGTCGACACTTTTTTGCCGTTTACCGCGAAATTAAAAGATACGGCCGAGCTCCGCTTACATGTAAATGTCAAATAAAATTAATATAAGAGTGATGGAATTTTCAGATTCTGACATTTCTGCGAAAGTCATTGGAGTCAAATATATGCCAGGAATGCCACGGATATCTGCAATGCTCTGTCTACTACTCCAGTGAGATGCTTACGATTGTCCGGCGTCTCATATATGGATATTCACATCATTGAAATGACGGAAGTAAAATCGCTAACGTACTTTTGCAACAACAGTCAGCAGCGTAGTTGTTACAATCTAGATAGTCCGATCGAAAGATCAGGTCTTAATCCATCTCTACAAACTAGACTTCTACGAGGTTAAGTGGCAGGATAAATGGAAGCAACTGTTCTATGCTCGGTTTTCCGCAAAAGACGTGGGCTGTTCCACCAATCAAAGTCAATTTTCAAGGTGCCTCACTAAAATAAATTCAGGTTATAATGGTGATGTGATTTATCGAAATGATCTTCCATTGAGAATGTATGTTGGCACAGCAACACCTAACACCCATCGATTTTATTGTGCTCTCTCAGTCACGTCTACCACTTCACTGCATTTTGACTCGGCAGATTGGCAAAATGACCTTCAGCAACTCTGGCAGTATAAGTGGTCGCCGTTGAAGCCCGGTGCCGGCGTCTCGTTCGCCATCATTCCGAAGCACTATGGCTGCCAGACAAGACATCACGGTGAGTAAGCTGGTTGTTATCTTTGTCCACTGTTATAACCCACATGTCGTGATGACGGTGGCCAGACGTACACTGAATGTTAGCACCCAATCCCTCTTGATGACGACGAATGTGTGGCCAATTTACCGAGGAGAAGAACAAAGCGAAGGCATGAAGGGGAACGCATAAACTTCAGAATGAACCCCTCATGCGGGTGAAGCATTCGTCACAAGAAAACTTCCTGTATTATCCTCGAGAAAACTGAGTAGATGTGGTTATATGTGCTCACATTTGGATTAACATCCTCGCTGCTTTTTCGAATGTCGTATTAGAGTTTGTGGGCAGCGACATCGTCACGGGGACGAATAATATTTGCTGAAATTGTAGACTGCGAGGCAAACGAAGTGGTTTGTCCCAGGGGGCAGTTGAGAAGGAGTAGACGCGAGCACAATTTCGTCATCTGCTTTCAGCATTGCTGCATGTCAGAAAACTGAGATTGATTAAAATGTTAGGGCTCACAGCAGCCGTCAGCAAATAATTTAAGAATCGACGCAGTTAATAGATCGCCTATGTTGCCTTATCGTAAGGAACTGTTGACCTGATCCACACATTCCATACGACACGACTAGGTAAGTGTGTAAAAGACAATAACATAGGATAAATTGATGTACGCTGCGTATTTTTTATTGACAGGGATAATTTAATTGGTCTGAATTGGAGTTTCGGGATTGCAGCTGGATGAGAAATTTGCAGTAGTAATCTAGGTCATTTTATGCGCATTTTCAGGCCTTGTCTGTTCCCATGAACGAACTTCGACGGACAAAATTTTGAAGGTCTATAAATGGGACCACTCAGATCACAAATTGATCTTTCCAGTGTACAATGTTGACAGGTGTTCCAGTCTATTCCGTATTTGCGTGACAGTAGTGGTGAGTCCAGTGTGCAATTCCTATGTGCGCTCCATATGAAACAGTCAGAAGACCGTTCCGCATGTGGCAGATTTGATGATTATAAAACGATATTTCGCAAATCAAAGACAACAATTCCCGAAGGAATACTGAGAAGATTGCAACACACTTTTAAAAGATCTAAACATGGGCCCTGAAAAAGCCATCAAAAATGACGGTTAGATTGGGAAGCATTCAGATGACCAAATTCGAAGGTGATAGGCATAAGTATATTCAGTCATGTTTTGATTCCTTTAGGTCTCATATCCACCTTTTGGATGAACACAGAAAATGAGGACTTCCGTCTTCTGATGGACGCCTATATATGTACCTTCTTTGGCATTAAAGACAGCTTGGAAGATGTATTGGACGGGAGTCGAATGTACTGAGATACGATCAAGAAAGTGCTCTTCTTAGCAAAGGCTATATGCGAAATGTGAAACTATCACAGCGAGTCCTTAGCTGTAATCCCAAACGTTGTCTATTGAGAGTACGATTTGGTTGGATGAGGTTATGTAGCCCATCTGAGGTAAAAAAAAAACGGCGGCCGCTTGTAATACGGGACCGGTAGCAATGGGAAGCTTTTACAGGGTGCGTCGGGGAACGAGAAAAGACATTATTCTTTCTCCAGAAATCATATACCCTTCAGTAGGTTTCATACAAATGTTGAGCCGTCGTGACCGACAATGTCTACCGTGTGTTTCACAGGATGGCTAAAGCAGAGACGGTGACTTACACGTGAGTTTGTGGATAGGGATTATAAACTTGCGGTGTATCTACCGCACACTCCCTTCTTCCCCCACCCAGCCTGGTGTCATGACAGGGTCAAAAAACCGGAGGTGGTTGGACGGAGGACGCAGATTGTTGGCACGGGGAAGACCCGCACGTGCGCCTATCACCACGCTCTCTTGCCCACAACGCACATTGACCAGAACTTCATACTTCTGGAGGCGCGTGGTTAGAGGCGTGGACTTCTAAACCAACAGGTCACGAGTTCGAGGCTCGGGTGTTTCACACTGCGGGGTTGGGTATGACTGGCTAACGACAGCTAATAAGCCAGAAATGGCCATTCCAGGCTCCGTTGACTTTGTCGGTAATACCATTCTGAGTATATATCATGCGCCGCTGTGCGGCTGCTGGTTGGGCTCGAGAGAGAGCCCATAAGGCACAACGGAACGAGTGAGTTCCGTTAGAACGATCCGTGAGCGCCCCCTACCATTATACTTGTATATGCGCTACGAGATTCCATCGGTGAAAGTTGGTTAATATACAAGACGTATGCTGGCGAGTCGCTAAGGGAGTAATTGCGAATGACACTCTAGTCCGGTCATCGTGCATTTTTCAGGATATAGTCATCTCTGTGAAGGTATTTCGAAGGGGTCGGATTTTTGGAGGTACTGCAAGCAATTCCTGTTATGTGTGACGAGTAGATGACTAGTAACACATACGACTTCCTCAATTAATATTTTAGGGACGATGCCTCGTTTGCAAATTTTCAATTTCCTAATTATCCCGATTGACAAACAAATGGATACTTAGTAAGTTGTTTAGCAGGAATATTTTCGGTTTGAAAAAAGGTTTATTTTGTATCATTATGAAGTGCTGTGATATTTCGTGACGGAGTGGGAAGAATCACGCTGTAGGCAGTTGCCCCAACCTTGAACATCCTTGTCTTGTTTTTGGGGCTCAAATTTGACTTGCAAAAAGCGACCATAGCCACACCAATGAGATCTCACCTAAAGATAACATAAGCAATTAAAATGGCTAGATTTCTGAAATATATACAAGCCACCGTTGGGTTCTGCATATTTTCCCAAAAAGCATCTACTGAACTCATGACAGCGACCTTCACTTTCACATTCCTGCATTGTTGTAGGTGAGATATCGTAAATTAAAACTGCTTGCATAGAATTGATATTCGATACATCTTTCCTACCTATCAAACCTACTGTGATTCCCATGGTGGATGGCAATGTTCAAGAAAGCTGACTGTCACTGACTTACCCAGTATTATTGATGCGCTGGAGGTCGAAGGATTTGGAATATCCGGACGACTACTCGACTTTGTCACGGTAGTAGAGTTGTCCCTCGTTTTCGTGCCATCTATAGGGAGTTCACATAAGGCATTCTGTTCAGTAACACCAACAAATTATGGAAAAGGGTAATTATTTGGTCACCATGGAAGCAGTCATCGTTAGGCTACATTGCAGGTGTTTCGAGGTAGATATATCAACGAGATGATTCGATATGTTAGTTTCTTTTAAATTCATGCCTGGGGAAATGCACTCCCTTCTGTCAACGGCCGACTACGGAATATTAAATTCAGGCTAAAATCGGTATACATTCAGACCCAATTCTGATTGCAATCAACGTAGAATGTCGATTGCCTGAGGTCGTCATACGTGTGGTGTTTACTAAATTGTTGTGAAGTGCCAATAACTGGAAGTTATCAACAGTTTAGAAAAGCACTGGAAAACTAACTTTTCCAGTCGACGATATAAGTCAGGGCTTTGGTCATTCCTTTGTCCAGGTAACAGTAGTAGTATCCGAAACGTGTTGACGGCTTTGAAAACCTGTATCCTATCTCTATTCTGCCATTCTTTTTGATAAAAACTAAAATAATGTCAGAAAATACCACCATATTCAGATGAGCATAACAGATCAAAGTTATAGAAAACTCAATATTTGACAAGAATGGATTTATGAATGCAAAGACTTTTTGGATCAATTGAAAATAACTGTTGAGCATTTACTACAGTTTCCCTCTGCTCTCGTTTTTGCAGGCGTCAATCCACTGCAAAATTGTTTGCCGTTGTGGTAGCAACTGAGCTATTGAGAGGAGATCAATATTAGGTGAAATGATCCAATTCTGTCATGACTTAAGTGCATATACGGCACCCGTTCATAACTTACATCCTTCAAGTCGGTTTCATTGCCATTGAAGAACCAGAAAAAGCTGTATCTGGTGAAGTTCGAGCAGACGTCCAAAAGGTCACCCTCCTTCACATAAAAGCCAGCTGAGGAAAAGCGCATTTTTATAATTGGAATTTAAGGAACATGCGTAATAGTCTTTTGTTTTAACTAGGTTGCAAAACGAGAAAGGTGAATGTGACAATTCTGGCAGGGTGTGAAACAAATAAACGCACGGACGGTTTTGTCCTCCAGCCTGTGAAGTGTGATTGGATATCTGTCCTTCAGCATAACGTAGGAGATATCGTCAACTTTTGGGAGTGTAAGGATGGTCGTGTGGATGTTATTGCCTTAAAAAATATCGTGTATACTAAGTCAGCCACTAGTAGATATTCCAATTTATCTTAGCTTAGAATATGCTTACATGGCACCTCACTGCTACATTTAAGGCATTAACACTAAAGACTATGCTATATGTAATATAAATACATATATACATATATATCCTCTCGATATATATATATATATATATATATATATGTATATCTTGTTTTTGATGGCGAGTTCTATGTTCATAAAGTGACGGAAGAAGAATGATCCACAAATCCTTTACATCAGAGGCAAATGTTTGACTGAATGATTAGGCAAGGATCGAAAACATACGGTTTCCGTAGGGACACCGAAAATAGCCCTCTTTGAGCGTACACCAGCCCCTTGCCCAAAAATATGTTCCAAATGGATCCTCATTTATATATCCACGCTAGAAGACATGTATAATGCATTGCTGTTATAAGCATTTGTAACATTATATGACAGGATAATCAAGAAGACCGCTTCGTTTTAACAGCACCTGTAATTTGTGAACTCACCCGATAACTGTAATGTATCGGAACTTCTACGGTGAAGTTCCCAGCTGCTCCCTTCGGGATAATACGTTTGCTCCAATTGCAAGGGTCTTGACCGAACCTAAAAATGACTCATGTTCTAGTTACACATTCAGCGTGATATAAATTGCCGCTGTGGTGAACCGCGTATGAGTGCAAATGACGTGTTTACTCCATATAAAACATATTTTATTAAACACTAAGTACTGTATAAATAGACGTAGGTAGCATTTGAATAAGGGAAGCAAACATCGAAAATTTATCTGACCTCAAGGATAAATTCGAAATTATGTTAAGCGTCATAAACAAGAATTTATTTTTAGTGATGATGATGAGCTAAGATGAGTTTACCAAAAACGATGACGTTAAGCAGCCGTTAAAGAGCATCGTCTTATTTTAAGCGCACATATAGCGGCATTTAATCGTTCTATATCCTTAAAGATATTCTTAACACAGTCCTTTGTCTGTATACAATTTACCAATTACTTCAAATTTGTTGGCGGAAAAAAACGTAACTGTCGAAAATGTGGAGACATCTGATGGTTGCGAATAGAAGCGAAGAGACGAGTCCCAAGAAGCAGTCTTGAAGAAGAAGACACCATCGTCGGGTCAAGTGTTTTATTGGCCTGAAGTTTCGGATTCCTGCTCGAATCCATCATCAGGGACAGAAGCAGATAAGGACTCGAGCAGGAATATGAAGCTTCAGGCTAACAAAACACTTGTCCCGGCGGTCGTGTCTTCTTCTTCTACGTCTGATTATGCTTACTAATTAAAAACGGCCTAAAATCACGTTAACAGCAAAAGCTTCGAAATCTGAATAAACATGTCTTATATGCCATGCAGTTTGTCGAATGATTGCTATCGCAATGGCATTCGTAATATTCATTGACATCGTATTACGATACAGTTTATTTCACAATGTTTTGAGGGAAGGAGGTTTGGAGTTTAAAAGGCAGTCAAATTGGGTCAAGTCCGGATGTCTGATGTGTACGGCATTAGTTAAATTCACGATGTTCTGGGTGGCAAGGCAAGGCAATTTTACGCACAAAAATGATGTAGCAGTAGCTGGATGTGATGGACCATCGAATTGGTTCAAGCCAGCATTCGTGTTTGGTTGTCTAACGCTTCGGCTTAAAGACACATGGTAAGCCTGGGATGAAGAATGTATCATACGCCTGTCCCTGAGGTATTCCTCATCCCAACATGCAAACCCTTAATTTCATTGTTGCTGGAAGAATCAAATAAAAGTGTTTTTTGCGAACGAAGCACCAGTAGCTTACCCTGTTTCGAAGAAGGTCAACGCGACTATGAAAAAATGAAGAGCCATCGTCATGTGCATTCTCACTATGATGTGACCCCCTCGCACAAGCGTTATATTTATTTTGGAAGTGTGGGTCGTTTGAAAGCTCAAGCTGCCATCTCATTGGTTCCCATCGCAAGCTTCGTGTAAACACATTTTTTCCTGAATGAACCCTCATCTGCCGATATCACCGGGTTAAATCAATCCGTTAGCAATTGTAATGCGTGACAAGAAAGAAGTGTTCTTACCTCATCTTTTTGGAATCTACAGTGAGTGACCGAAATTCTGAAATGCGTTTTCGACCAAGAAGGATTACTATGATGGGGCTGTAATGCTGATTAACATCCGGCACAACCTCGTGATATTTCGGACTCAGCAGGGTGTTGCCTTTCGAATTAGCGCCAATCCGATCTCCTGCAATAATCGCATTCGGTAACAAACAGTGGCTGGCTAATTAGTATGCGTTTTTTACATTGATTTTCGATGGTCATATACATTCGAATATATTTTATAGAGGACATAAACAAAAATATGTTTTTTACCCGTCCGATGGGAAATCACGTTGTCTCCGGTTTCGATTCTGAGAGACTAATCTGCGGAAAAAGCGTATTGCTCTGTCCATGTTTTCTTTAGAAATATCCCAATCTAAGTCGTTCCTCTAGATATTCGACTTGGTGGGACGGCCAGAAAAAGGATAGCTCACTCTCTTTTCTTTTCAAATTGAAGGTCAACGCTGGATGGGTGTAATTCAGTTGACAAATCTTCCCATCCGTTAGCACAAAACTGCTGCCAAAATATCGAGTACAGGAATCAAGGTGCTTTATAACGGAATGGAGTTAGTTCTTCTCCAGTTACCCAATGGATACACTTGCAGGAAGGGGTCTAGGGGTGGTCCAATCGCTACTTCATCGATTAAACCATAAGGTAGAGGCTTTTTTCTGTTTTCGGCACGTTGGTTATGGGCAAACTCTTTTTGCTTATCTCGTGCAAAGGCTTCGGATAAGCCATTATGTCACATTATTAAGTTTAAAAAGGCAGTTTTACTCTCCAACAGGTCCGCACGTCCAAAAAGGGAACTTTTCTCCCTTCTCTCTTTCCGAAGTGAAGATTGATGCTGGATGAACCCAACCCACTGTCTGCAGAAAGGTGTCCAAATTGGCTTTTAAATCCATCACTGCAAAAGTATGGCTAACACGTCTAACATAGGAATTGAGGCTCTTCAAAACGGACAAGACCTGCTTTTCCTCTAGTTTTTCCATGAATGCATCCACCAGCTGATGTCCGAATGCTGATCCCGTCGATAACTCCGCCGCTCTGACCGCAAAATTAGCTGTCAGAACTAATTTGAACGGGCGACTTGCAGCAAAGAGGGTCCCTCAGTATTTACGCGTGGTTCGTTAATATTTCGCAGGCAATATACCGCGGACATTCGTGCATTTGTTCGCCTAAAAAGTCCTTCTTAAGCAAAAAAAATGCCAGTTCTCACGTGAAATTTCCGTTTCGGTCTACTGCCTAGCAATCCGCCTGTTGGTCTGCGCGAGTTTCTTAGTGCCAAGAAGCTCTGTATTTTGTCGTTACAATGATTCGCAATCCCATGTCGTTTTTTGTTTCTTATGACTGTGCGTTAATTTATGCATGCATCTTAATTATGATAGTGGGCGCTCACCGATCAGGTTACGGAACATGCTCGTTCCGTTGTGCCTTGGGGCTCATACTTAAACCCTCGCAGGCAGTCGCACAGCGACTAGTGATATATGTTGGAAAGGTAATACCGACAAAGACAAGGGATGCCTGTTTTCCAATTCATACGTATGAATTTTGATCGCGACGTTTTGCTAGAAGCTAGACAGTGGGAGAAGCGTGCAATTCGCGAGAGTCTCACGCGAGAACAGTTATCGTTTTTACATAAATGCCGAAGCAAGAAGATTTTGCCAAAATCTCTCCAAATAAAACCTGCCATTAGAACTACTCAAGAATATCAAATTGCATTGCGTTACGGCCAAAACATGCTTGGAGCCTTTATATCCAATGCTCACTTCAGACTTCGGAAATTTCAAGCTTCTAAAGAACAGCATGCGCATTTCTGCCGAGATAATCTCCCTTCGGAAGTAGTTGAATCTCTAAATGAAACGATAACCTGTGTTTCCAACATCGAAAGACAGAAAAAGAGGAGTGTCTTAGACAAAAAATGGATAGCCATCTCTTAACGAATTCCTACAGACCAAACTTGCTCGACAAAGGTAGTGAACCTGTCAGCAAGAAGACTTTCAACGGCCGAAGAAAGTGTACTTTCTAAGGGAATGAAATATAATCTATCCGATGCGAAATACCTAGACTTCCTTGCAAATTTGGAGTCTATAATATCAGTAGAAAATATTACGGACGATGAACGTTTCACAATCCGGAATAGCACTGTACAAGCCTTGAAGAATCGAAACCCCTTTTCAGTACTATCGCACGAAGAAATGAAGGCACTTAAAACATTAAAAAGTGACAAAAGCATTATCGTACTTCCCGCGGACAAAGGAGGATCAATTGCAATTTTAAACAAAGCAGACTACAACGAAAAGATGTTGTCATTATTGAGGGATAGATCAACCTACAAACCTCTTACCACGGACCCTACTAAAAAGCAGAGTACGGCCATTGAAAAAGTTCTAAAAAGTCTCACAGGAAAGAAGCAAATATCAGGAGATATTGCCAAATCCTTACGACAAACTGAGCCAGTCATTGCTAAAATCTATGGACTGCCTAAGGTTCACAAACCTGAAATACCACTGCGACCGATAGTATCGTTAATCGGTGCACCTAATTACAAGATTTCTAAATGGCTATTCCACAAACTCTATCCGTTGACAAAGGATTGTGAAACATCAATCAATAATTCGGCAGAGTTTCTGGACAAATTACAAGGACTGAGAATCTCAGCAGATGAAATAATGGTATCCTTCGATGTCGTTTCTCTGTTCACCTTCATACCATTGGATTTAGCTAGACAATGTACAGAGGAACGTCTCCAGTACCACGACATGGATATCCCTGCATCTGCCTTGTTAGAACTCTTAGACCTTTGTCTAGAAACGAACTTTTCATTTGCACAGGAATACTACCAGCAGCTGAAGGGAGCACCTATGGGATCACCCATCTCTGGTTTTCTCGCAGAAATCACGATGCAGAAGCTAGAGGCTATCGCCTTACCACTAGTTAACCCCAAATTATGGGTACGATATGTGGATGACACGTTTGTCATTGTGAAAAGTGATCAACTGGAAATAGTCCACAATATTATAAACTCAACACTTCCAGGAATCACATTCACACTCGAGAAGGAGGCTGACAACAGACTCCCATTTCTTGATGTGCTCGTACAGAGAAAACCTGACGGGACATTTCATACTTCGGTTTACCGCAAAGAAACCTACGCGGAAGTTATTTTGCATTACGAGAGCAATCACCCGATCTCTCACAAAAGGAGTGCCGTGAACAGCCTCCTTAACCGAGCAAGAACTCACTGCTCTGACAACGAAACATATCAAACAGAACTGAAGTATCTGTTCAAACTGTTTTCCCAGAATGGGTATCCTAGATATTTTGTACACCGATGCATGCGACGACAGGAGTTAAAAGAAAAAGGGAAGGAACTAGATTGTTCCGATCAGGCGCCCAAACCAAAAAACTGGCGAACACTTCCATACATTAAGAATGTGTCCGAACTAGTTGAAAGACACCTGAAGAAGCACCAAATTCATGTGGCGCACAAACCGACGACTACACTTCGCAACCAGCTTGTACACCCTAAGGATAGGGTTGGCTATTTAGATAAGAAGGAAGTCGTCTATAAGATACCATGCAACACCTGCAATGCAGTTTACTGTGGTCAAACTGGGAAATCGGCCTCTACGCGAATACACGAACATCAGTTGGCCGTAAGAAGGCGCGACTACTTGTCCCAAGTTGCCATGCATACGTTGGAAACGGGCCACAAATTCGCATGGGACAGGACTCGCATTGTTGGTGTTTGCTCATCAAAAAACGGCCGTGAATTTTTAGAGGCCATCCATTCTGACAGCGCGTGCATCAATCGACACGTAGAATTGGATACGGTGTACAACAGCCTCAAAGAAAAGTGGAAAAGGCGTTAGCCAATCAGAACATCACACCAGCAGGAGTAACAAGGCAAAATCGATTTTTCGGCATGTTTAACTGTTAACTGAGTAGCACACTTACTTCACGTCTGAAGACGACTTGGGGAACCAAGTTCGAAAATTTACAATAAAACTTGTTTAATATTTCCAAAAGAGCTGTTTTCTTTCGAATTATTATTCTTGGGATGCCTGTTTTCCAATATTTATATATATAATGGTAGGGGGCGCTCACTGATCGTACTTACGGAACTCAATCGTTCCTTTGTGCTTTACGGGCTGTCTCTCTCGAGCCGAACAAGCAGCCGCACAGCGGCGAACGATATAGGCAGAATGGCATTACCGACGCGCCACAGCACGTAACAGGCCAAAAAGTGTATATCACACATAGCAATCACACTAGCTTCTATGAGAGGACGTCGCAGCCATTCATCCAAGTGGAGTATACCAAGGCCATTTCGCCTGTCTCTCCAGTCTCCCGTTTATTATAATAAACCGATTTATATCGGCAAGCCAATTTAAGACTGAAGGCAACAGACGCCCTTAACAAATTAACGGAGTTTCCTAAAAACAGGGTACCAGGATTCACTGATATTCATGAAAGAAATATTTAATAAGCCGAACGCAAGAAACTCATCTTTCTTCAACAAGATCTCCCAACTTCTACGAATATGTATATATATATGCCTTGTTTAATTTCCGAAGAAAGTAATGCGCGAACTCGGAGCAAATCTTCGAATCCGACCTTTTCAGGCATGGTCCAAATTTTTATATGAATATTTGAACTGAATGCCATCAGTTCCTGCGGAATAACCGTCTAATATTCACAAACCGCCAATTGACAGCCAGTAGTATAGAATCGTGCAATGATTCACCGTACTAACAAAGCAGGTATTA